GAAGATACAATTCGGAACAGATACCAGAAGAAGACTGAGTCTTTTCAAGACTATGCCTTGGCACTACAAGAGTTGATGCGATATGCTGAGTTAACAAGGGGACAACAGTTAAGTCGGATTTACCGAAATAGTAGACCAGAGTATCAGCTCCAGATCAAACCACGTGAATTTAGCTCCTTGGGAGAATTAATCAAATTAGCAGAAGAATTCGAACGACTTACACAACTAAGTAGTAGAGAACGCCAATGCACTCTTGATTGGTCACCACCGATTGCCGTTAACAGAACACAGATCGAAAAGGTGGACGTGCGTAATGTTTGTCATAGATGTGGGGAAAGAAATCATTTTGCACGAGAATGCACAAAGCCTAGGAGACTTTTTTGCTGGATTTGTGGTACTATAGGCCGTCGAACGATCGAGTGCTGCAGGGAAAACCCAACATACAGAAATCATCAGAGGCCATCGGGAAACGCTTTGGGGTTGTCACGCCAGGCGGGACGACAACCACCCAATCATTTTACCCGTCAAATTAGAATCCAGTCACCCAAAACTGATGCAAGAAAGTATAGTCCAAAATCAAAGCATTAAATCGAATCATCATATCCAACCGAGAAGTAACCAGCAACCGATTCCACCAGTCGCAAAACGAGCAACAGCAATTAGTAGGCCAATAACAAATATACTACCAACGCTAAGCATGCCACACCAAAGTAATTCACAACCACACTTAGTACCATTACAGGAAAAACCACACAAGGAGGCAATTCATAAATGCATCGTAACTCCTCCACAGAGTTCAACGTCTCATAGGGAAAGCCCAGAAGTATGTTATCAACAAGCCTATGCACAACAGTCGCCAGTTAACTACAATCAAAATACGCAACCACGAGAGCAAAAGCATCAAATCGAAGAGCATGACTTATCATCACGTCCAGCAGTGCCACAACGTGTAATGATAGTACCAAAGTCATCACATCCATTGTTACCAACTTCTACGAGTTCTGAATCATCGTCACAAACGCCACAGTGCCATTCACAAGGTAATTTTACATCATCATCGCAAGCGCCACAGGGTCATTCACAAGATAATTCTAAATCATCGTCGCAAACGCCACAGTGTCATTCGCAAGGTAATTGTAAATCATCGTTACAACCAAAGGAACTTGAGCCGCAGCCACCACCCCTTGTTAATCAGCAACAAGCACAACGAGAAGCACTACCAAGAGATAATCACCAGTCCGGTCCACCATCATCTTCGTCATCAACCACATCGCCACAGAGGAATTCTACTACAGTATCGCAAGTATCGGACAATCGTCAAGTACAACCTACGAAGTCATTAGATCCATTAGATATCAATGTTTCAGATAGTAAACTTAATACGGAACTACCAAGTCAAGGAGCTCAAGCAAAGGATAAAGTCAAGCATGACAGTCAACAAGAACCATGGTCACCACAAGAGAAATTGAACGTCATTAAACCAAGCACAAAAGGAAACAAGCCAGAGATTTTCATACAACGTCTAGGTACATTTAAACGAAAGGATGACCGTCATCAGGTCAAAAACCAAGATGAGTATTTCAAAATTTTCAAGAGTCCAAAGGTTAGAAAGAGAAATTGAGCCTCATTTTGAGAGGAATATTATTAGCACAAGTAATAGCATGTATCATAGGGAAAATAAGGGATAAACGACTCAAAATTTCGGGTTGTAGGGTATATAAAGTTATACATAACAGGATAAACCAATTAGGAATCGGACGTCGAACCTGCATTGAACTAAACAAAAAGCTCATGATCCGTTAAAAATTGTGGTATAAAGCAAGGCAAATAGGACAAGGAACATCCAGTCGCATAATATCGGAATAACAAACAACATGGAGAATAAATTTGAAAATTCGGTTAAACGTTTTCGGGAAAGCCTAGAAAACTTAAAAAGAAGTGCCCCGCGCTGTCAATATGTACCCAGTGTACACGCGCCTCCACGTAAACGGTTAAAGAGTACAGTACATGTAATCAATAAATCAAAAACCCGACGTGTCATGGAATGTCCCCAGAGAATCTACTAAAAAGGAAGTCATCAACAACTGGCCTAGAGAGATAGAAATGGCTATTCGTGAAGCCAGTAAAAAACGAAGAGTAGGAAGGCGTCTCAACTTCATACGGTGTGTGGAAAATAAGAAGTATCAAGTGCAAATTAGCCGAAGAGGGGTCATCAACGTGTCATTAAAATAAAGTCTTAGTTTAATTTCTGTTCTGAAGAAGGAGGGAAATGTAACGACACAAATTTACAAAGTAAATTTCTGTGCTACATAAAGCAAGAAGAAGAGAAAAACACAGTCTGTGTGTTAAATAACCGCCACCACTACACATAATATATCTAACAACTCACATGAAAATAACTGAAGGCGACTTAACTGGAAAATATAAAATTGAATTAAAATATTTGTTTGAAATATCGTGGACATTACCTGTGATCCTCGATGCCAATGGACCGCGGGCATCGCTACATGCAATGTGCAAATTCTAAAAATATACGATATAAACTTTTATGAATGGAACACTTATAAACGCAACAACAATGAACAATTATTGGCGAAACATGTTTAAATTTTAAACAAATGTCTGTTTTTTTACAATTATATATAAATAAAACAAAACACAAAACAATTTAACACTCGTGGTTGTTCAATTTTAGTTTTATATGCGTAAACGAAAAACACAAAACAGTTTAACATTTTTGGTTGTCCAATTTTATTTTTATATGCGTAAACAACAAAAAAAACTAAGCACGCCAACATCAATTTTATTTCTTTTAATATTTCTTTTCTTTTCACATTTAAGTTGGTAAAAATATTAAAATCACAAAATATATATTATACCTCGTTTTAATTATTATTAAATTACTATTATATATATTATTTAAATAATAAAAGAACCACACACAAAACACGGCACGTTGTAAAAAAGTACTAAAAATCACGGCGAAGCAAAAGAAGTGGAAAACAGTAGAACACAAAGTTCAACTTCACGGCGAAGTCAAGTACAGCAAAGAATACCGGTACGCTACACCAAAAAGCTTCGGTATGCTCGATATAAAAGGAGGCGCATTTCGTATAATAGGGGACTTGGTTTGCGACAAGTGAAAGAGCAAGTACTCTGGCTCATTGGGCCTTCTGGTAAATTTTACCAAAACTTGAAATTTTACTTTTCCTGGAACAAGTACACTGGCCTATTGGTCATCTGGCACATTGTGCCACAAATCTGGTTCTTTGAGTCAAAAGTAGTGTAAAATTCCTTTCCTGTCTTATATGTATTTTTTTTTAACCTGGCTTATTCGGTCAAATAGTTTTTTACAGCACGGAGGAAACGTTTTGTTTATTTTTTTAACAACAGAAGAGGGGCTTAAGAAGTCACACGGGTTTTGCTAAGATTCTTTTAACAAGTAGTATATGGAGAAGTGGGAAATTTTGGCATCAACATAATTTTTTTTTTATTTATTATTAGAAATGTTTCCAATGAATTTTAATTAAACTTTGTTAATCATAAGTTTTATGAAATAAATAAAGTTATATATATAATTTATACATATAAATCACGTTCTGTTTTCTTCTAAAACCAACGTCTCGGCAAAATTATAAATATATTGTCACGACTCTGGACGACGGCTGAGGATACCCCAGCAAAAACTAAAAATTTTTGAACGTCACCAAAAGTGTCGTTACAATATTATTACATCAAATGAAAGCTTGAAGTGTTCTCTTTCGATTAAGTTAATTTACAGAAAAATGGTATTCCTGCTTTTAAAGATATAATTAATTTTGTAAAGTGACCTATTTTTACAAAATTTTATTTTCCTTATTTTGAAGAAGATTTTTTCTATATTATGTAAAAAGCGATTATATTTAGAAAAACAAACATATTTCTTATTGTTATATGCTTTTTAGTTCATAATTTTTGGTTAAGTAACAAAGTTTTAATTAAATAATATTTGAAAATGACATCTCTATCTTCATCGCAGCACTGCTCCTAAGTTAATCGAACAATCTATACAAACTTTTGCATTATGTGAAAGGTAATTTTATCTTTCTTTCGAATGAGCTATAAAAGAAAAAAATGGGACTTCTAGTTTAAAAGTTATTAATAAATTAGTGACCCCATCTTTTGGGGCTGATTTTTATTTTTAATTTTTCATACAAATTACATCATTTACACATAAAAGTTGAATGTAGATAGTAAATTAATTCAATTTTTTACTTAATAATGCCTTTTGCTGCATTAAATTTAATAAAGTAATAAATTTTTCCTTAATTAAGGTATACTGCATTTTTCATGCTGCGAAAAATGTTCCATTCCATTTTGGACTTATCGTCGACGCTATCTTCACGCACTTCAAGGAATTTTTCATATTCTCTTCTTCATTCATTTATATTCTTCATTCTTTTCTTTTATAATTTCAACTCCGAAATTACCTATGTCGAACACAAAACAAAGAATAATAAAAACGAAGAGCTATTACCTTCTCGCTTACTTTTTCAGCGCTGGCATAATGGTGCTGCTGGGAAGTTGCATTTATAACTATACTGCAATACAACTGTGGCAGTAATGCTGCAGTATTACATTTTCGACCAAACCAATTTAATGACGACTTTTGTCTAAAAATAAAATGCAAGAAAGCTCGTTAAGTTAAACAAAACTTATTGAATTAAAGAAAGTGTTCGAATAAAATTATTATCCATAAAGATAGTAGAATCCCTATTGGAATAAAATAAAATATGTTGCGATATTATATTATGGGAATATAAATAATGAAATAATATTAAAGGAATTAATATATAAATATTTTTTTCAGGTGCCTAATAATACTTATGTAGCATATGTATTTTAGCATTTCTATACTTTAGGAAATGCACTTGTATGGATACCTTCATCATTAAAAATTTTTTTTAATGAATTTCTTATCTATTTTTTTATTTCTTTTTGAAACTTGCACTTGTATTCGTCGCGTAAACACACAATGGACTTTACTCATAATTTGACCTGGCAATGATGTGTGATAAGTACTGAAATATATTCGATGGTTAAAGTTACTTGCTCAGTATGTGTGTAGGACTGCTTTCCGATCGTACGTGTTTATTGAATTATGTACAGGGTTCAACCTAAGGGGTTTGCCACGAAGGCTATACATGTAGGCCAAGATCCTGAGCAATGGAACTGTATGAGTGTTATTCCTCCAATTTCGTTAAGTACAACATATAAGCAAGATGGCCCGGCAGAACACAGAGTAAGAATTGTGCATGTACCGGTTACAGGAACATTTATGCCCTGTATAAATAATTTCGCTTTTAATATATAATCATTATTTTTAATTACATATTGTTGTTTGTAGTAAGTTAGGATAATATATGATACATTTTGTAAAACATACAATTATATGCAATAAAATATCTGAATTGTGCAAAATTGTCCTACCCAGCAAGATTCCTTAAATCTTATATTCAATAAATACAGTTTGTTGAGTATTAGTTTACATATTCAAAAAAAATTGAAAATTTCAACTTATTCAAAAAAGATTATTGTTTTAGTATATATGCTTTTATTTTATATATTTGTTAATATCTTCTTCTTCTTCTTGAGTTAGTGCTATTACGCACTTTTACTCTATAATGGCTGGGGGGCTTATCTCTACCACACACTAGGCTTTAACTAGGCTAAAAAAATCATATCATTTATTTGTCTTTTAGTTGACGACGGACCTTAAATCAGCATATCTTCCTGAGAGTCCAGAAGTGGACTTGAGGATTGTTAGGGCGGGGTTAAGTAGCGTATATTATTATATTAGGAATATAAACATAAAAAAAACTTATAAAATTATTGAAAGAAGAACATAAATTATGACAAGATGCAGTATCTCTATTAAAGGATGTTTCATTTCATATTACTCATAAAATAAGTGCCGATTTTAGTCATCAATTTTGCTGTTTTAAAATATAAAAAATTTAAGAAAAGTATAAAACTTAAGTGTTTTTATAAATTATTTTATTTTGTCACGATACTTGATTAAGGTAATTTCTCAATTGTTTTTATACATTTTAATTTATACATACAAATTTTATGAATGTAAAAAACATAAATATATACAAGAATCAAATATTAAAAATAATTAGACGGTAGTTTCCGGTATACGTTATCAAAAAAATTGTTTTTAAAGCAAGTATTTTTTTAAAATATTACATCCACATTTTTATATAAAATACAAAAGTAGTTTTAATACTTGAGTTATATTTTTGTTCTTATCTTTATTAACGTTCGAATATATTGAATATATAAAGACATGTTTTTAAAACATATATATGTGTCAGCAGAGTGGCTTTACAAACCTTGTTTATTAAAAAAATTTTTTTTGCAACACAGAAAAAAATGTTGACAATTTATGGCAATTGCTAACAGAATTAATAAAAATTATTTAAATGATTCCTGTTACATTTTTATCAAATATATTTTAAATAATCTGCTTTCATTTTCTTGATTTACTATTCTTTTCAACGCTTACGTTTTTTATTATCTAAATGACGTTCACATTTGACATTTCATTAAATAAAATTTGAAATTATTTTAATAAAATGAAATATGTATATGTTGTTCAGAAGTCAATGGGCCTATTTACACTACCATAAATACTCTTAATTTCTGTGCTCTGCTACACACAACTACTACATTTCATACGTTTACACAAAACAAAACAAATTTCACGCTCATGAGAGTTCATGACAGTGTAAACTGAACTGACAGTTCGTGTTGTCGTCAAGTTCATTTTACGTTCATGATAGTATAAATAAGCCCATAGTGTAAATAGGCACAATTAGTTTTAATTTAGTAGTTACGTGTGAATTATTTATTCTTTTACACATATACAATATTTTAAAATAAGCTTGTTTAATTAGATATCGTTTGCATTTTTTAGTACTACATATTTTATTTGAGCACATGTTGAAGATTAGAAATACAATCGGATTTAGGTATTAATTAAACTAGTATATAATTTAAACATATACTGATTTTAAATAATAAAATTAAAATAAATATAAACATATTTATATTACAAAATAAAAACAAAACAGAAACAAGAAACCGAAATGAAATATAAAATAATACACGCATTAATAAAATAATATATCCATATGTTAAGAATTTATTGCATCAAACAAGATTCCGCAATAAGATCCCTACACTTATTTTTATGATCTGTACTTTGTAAATCAAAATTTACTAGTGACTTTGCACTTCGAATTCGCATACACTGAAAACAACCAATTTTATACAATATAACTTGCGGCGAGGTCAAAATCACAACGTCAGCATTCTGACACAAGTGACATATAGAAGGTAATTCGGTTACAGTAAATTTTTGTTTACAGTATATTTAAATTTATTATCAGATACAGTTATTTTAAATATTCAAATTGTTATATTTCTTTGTTCAGAATATTTTATTTTCTTGTTGGAATTATACGTTCACAATTATAATTATTTAAATCTATATTTTTGTTAAAAATGTGCACGCGCATTTTTTACTATTTTGTCGCATAAGACAGCTGATCACATTAGTGATGCCATCTCGTTATGATCATTGATTTTATATCGTAACACCTTTTCTTTTCGAAATGTTTTACTGTGGTTGAAACAAAGTTACTGCTTTGCGATTACGTGTTGTTCTGCGAAGAACAGGTGATGTAGGTGTTGTAATTGTTGTAGGCATTTTGGGTAAATCGGCTGGCGATGCCGATAGTGGCGGAATATTAGGCAGTGTCTGACTGTTGAGTGCTCTTGTAAGTCATACACATCTAGTGCAGCTTCTTAAAATCTGAGGTTATTATGTTGGTCGTGGTAGCGCTTTCGTAATTGATTACAATGAATTCGAATTTTCCATTGTTCAGAGTAACATTGTACATTACTTTTCCTTTTTTTTTAATGACTTCCCCACGCATCCATTTGAAATGGATAACTTCATTTGGAATACTGGCGTAAATTTTATCTAATGGAAAGTATGTTATATCCTTGGCACCGTGCCTTTTGTTAAATTGCTTTTAGTGGTGCCAAACTTCGTTACTTTTGCGTATTTGTAACTACCCGTTACTTATCGAGTATGTATTCGTTACTCAGTATTCGTTACTGCGCTTTCGTTACTGCGTTTTCGTTACTGCGCTTTCGTTACTGTGCAGTCGTTACTGAAGTTTAAATGCTTTTTTTCGGCAATAAAAGAAATTTTTAAAAGCATATATATTTATTATAATAAATTATAGATTTAATAAATTAGAATTATTATTTTATTGAATTGTTTGATCCGCATATTTTGCATTTAGCTTTTCACGTCCAACTGGTTCAAATGAATCCAAATTTCACTTTTTTATATTAATATTTTTAAACATTTTTAATAAATTTGATAGCGAAGAAAAATTTTGTTGAAAATAAAGTAGTTATTATTATATCGCAAAAACAATTGCTTAAAAGTAATCTTTACTAAGTACTTGAAAGAGTAGTTATAATAAATATTACTCATTGGTAAAATGAGTAAAAGTAACGAATACAATAAAAAGTTTGTATTCGTTACTCAGGTATTTCTTGAGTAACGAATACAAAGTAACGGATAGTTACATTTTTGGCACTACTAATTGCTTTTCCATTTTGAATTTATTTGGACTTAACTTTGCATTGTGTAGCTTGTTTGGCTGCAGCAAATCTAAATTTATACTCAGAGATCGTTTCTCTGGTGAGTTTAGTGCATAGTCTATATGCAGGACCGATCCCACTGTTCGTTTGGTGTGGGCCAAGAATGAAGTAATGTTTTCGAAGGCATCTTTGCTGCATTTGCACATTGATTGCAATTTTGAATAAATATTTCTATATCGGCATAAATGTTTGGCCAATATACAAAACTCCGTGCTAATGCCTTGGTATGCTCAATACCTTGATGATCACGATGTAATTGTTTAAGTACACGTTTTTTGTAGACTTGTGAAATAACAATACATTCACCGTACACAACACATTCATTTATTAATTATAACTCATTTTTTCTGAGTGAAAATGCTTGTAATTCTCTATTATTGATTGTTTTGTTAGGCCAACCATTTGTAATATAATATATTTATTGTTTTAGAATTGGATATCTTGCTGTTACATTTGTGATCATTTTATGTGTTAATGGTAAAGTATTTACAGAGTTACTTATAATTGAATTGACATTTCTTTCTAATTTAACTGATGCTAAACGTATTTTTCAGAAATATTTTCGTTGTTATTTATAAGTCGAGATAATATATCTGCGAAACTGTTTGTTGAAATTAATCTTATTTCAAAATCGTATGCTAAAAGCTGAATTGCCCCTCTTTGAAGACGATTAGCTTGATGTATAGCAATGCCTATTTTTCTACCGAAAATAGTTAGTAAAGGCTTATGGTCGGTATGTAATATAAATATTCTTCCATACAACATTTTATGAAATTTGGTAACTGCAAATATGAGCGCAAGTCCTTTTTTTTCTATCTGGCTATATTTTTGTTCAGTCGGAGTGAAAGATCGTGAAGCATGGCAAATAGGTTTAATGGATCCATCTGAATATTCTTGCATAATGCATGCGCCTAACCCATACTTTGATGCGTCGGTAGCTACAATTAACTTCTGATTTGGATCATAATGGCATAATAATAAATTTGATGACATTATAGATTTAAAACAATGGAAACGTCTTGATGGAAACGTTTTGAAGTATCCGGTCCCATTTCCATTTTACTTAAGTAAATTTCCCATAAAAATTTGTTGCGCCAAGAAAATAACGTAATTCTGTAATATTTGATGGCTCTGGCATTTGCTTGATAGCGGCAATACGTTCTGGATCCGGTTTTAACTCTTCTTGATTGATGATGTACCCTAAATACTTAATTTAAGTTTTGAAGAAATTACATTTTTCGTGTTTCAATTTAAACCCATAATCACGTAGCCTTGTAAGAACTGCATATAAATTGTCTGTACGTTCAGATGCTGTTTTACCGGAAACAAATATGTCATCAATATATGATGCAGTGTAATTTAGTCCTGCTAAAATTTGGTCCATAATTTGTTGAAAAATTGCTGGAAATGTTTTTATTCCAAAAACTATTCTGTTGTACTGAAATAGACCGATGTGTGTATTTATTATTAGTAGCTGTTTCGATGCGTCATCAACTTCGATTTGTAAGAATGCATCCGATAAATCTATATGGCTAAATATTTTTGAATTTGCCA